AAAGAGAAAATTAATCAAAATATGTATAAACTGATTTAGACACTATTTAAAAAAAATTAGAGAAGGCAAAGTATCAATAACCTTGCCATTGTAATGGTCCCGATGGAGTCTTACGATTAGCAGGTGCCAATTTGTCTTTTTTCCTACAATATCTACAACCTCAGCCCCCCAGGAAATGTCTTTTTCCGAAGGTGTTTCGGAGGAAAGCTGCTAAGATAGAAGATGTGTTGATACCAACCAACCCTTCTAGTATTCTAAGCTACTACGCCCACTCGAATTACACTTTTTTTTATCGTGGTTAAAATGTAGGTGAGTAATTAAAAATATAAGTTATTAGTTAAAATATTTGTTGTGATTAAAAGATAAATATGATTACAATATTTTTGTGGTAGTTAAAAGATTAAATATAAATAGAAAAATTTAACAAAAATATTAAAATATAAATCGTAAATCGTTGGACCTAAACGATTTAAATTGTTATTGTGCTTTTTGTGCACAACAAGACACTCAGTTTTACTGTATGGATATCTTAGATAAAATTGGGATTTGACTACGCAAATGATACGATTTCAAAATTCATGACTTTTATAAGTGATTATAATTTTTTTTGGGGGTTTAGTTATAATAAAAAAAGTTACAATGTTTTTGAAGTGATGTAACAATTTTTCGGGATGAAGTTACAAATTTTTGGATGTTAAGTTGCAATTTTTTTGGGATGTTTATGTTTTGTTTGGTACAATAAAAAATTGAAAGATAAAAAAGTTGAAGAGATAGATAAAATATCATGTTTGTTAAGACAAGAGAATAAGAATGATGAAAAAGTGGATGAGTTAATAGAGCCTATTTGGTTTGTATCTTAAAAAACAGTATTCAAAAACTATTTTTGAAAAAAGTTTTAAGAAAGTGCTTTTAAAAATTTTTAAATTACAAATCATGTTTGGTTATATATTTTTGAAAATAGTTTTAAATAACAAAAATTATAAAATCTGTTTAAACAATAATCCACAATTCTCACCTTTCTCTATCTCCACAAAACACACTTATACGCACACACACACACACAAATACATACACAGACGCACACAAATATGTTCTCAAATCTGTGTAGATTTGAAATTTTTGTGCAAACGACGTGCTGAAGCTCATATCTATGTAGATCTGTAATCTTTTACGTAGATGACTAGCTAGAGAAGACGACGAAGGTTCATTCTGTGCAGAGGACGAGCTAGAGAGTTTGGGAAATAGTAAGGAAATAAAAAAAGAAAGAAATCTATTGTTGATAAGGAGATTTGAAAGACAGATCTTATTAAAGAGTTTTGTGACCCTTGTGTTTTCACACTTTTCAGCCCCAATCTCATAAAACAAGTCAACCTTGTTTTTTATTTCTTTACTCTAAATCTCATTTTTTTTAAAAAAAATTGAGAACAAAAATATAAAATAGAAGGGATGAAAAAGGTCCATGGATATTTTTTTCATCCTTTGAGGGGAGAAAGATATTTTTCCTTCTCTTTGTTTGGCGGGGGATGGAATAGTAGATAAAAATATTGTTTATTTATTTTGCTTGGTATGAAGAAATTTTTTTAAAACAAAATTTAATTTATCAAATCTCATAAATACCCTTTTATTTGTCATTAATTATTTAGACAAAAGGTACATGTGGGTCCCACTTTTGTTTTGCTCACCTCTTTAACAACAAACATAATGTAGACCCCACATTTGTTCCTCTTGCCGTCACTCCAAAGAAAATAAAAAGGTAAAGATAATCGTTGTAATTATCAATACGTACAAAAAAAAAATAATAATAATTCCATCTTGTAGAGGTATCTGTAAAAAATAAAGTACCATAGCATTACATGGCCAAATGAAAATTACAATGATATTCGTTTGGGACAACACTAGAGTATCGATTTTTTTTGTGGACTATTTGATTTTAATTTATTTATAGTCGTTAATCATAAAAATAATTAAACTATAATAAGAAACTATCAAAATTTGCATATTNACCTTCGGAGAATAGTCTTTTCCCCAACGATTGGACCCAGTAGAATGATGATTAAGACTGCAAACGTTTGAATAACTAATGGTTTGGCCTAGTATGACAGTGCTCAAGCTTGATTAGAATATATATAATTATAATGATAGGCAAGGCTCTAGTTAAGGTTCGTGAGTTTGAGTTTAAATCTATCGAACTCATTTTTTTAAACGAATAGAAAACTTGTTTAATATTAACTTATTTAAAAAATGAATCGAACCTGAGTTGAGTCGAGTTTGAGTAACTCAACTATTTTATATATAAACGAATCTAAAAAATTATTCAACGCAACTCGTTTAAAACATGAGTTGAGTTCGAGTAACTCAGCTCAATTAACGGACCTAATGGCAAGTCTTAACATATTGTTGCTAGGCATAAGATTTTCTCTAACAATCGATGGGTATAATCCTTCTACAAAGAGATTTTAGGTGATTGTGTCATTTGAGGTTTAATTGTCTTGTTTTAAGACTTCTTCGTATGAAATTAATCGATAAAGTTTGAAACAAGAAAGATCACAACAAAGATTAAGAAAAGGGAAAACACTTTTATTAGTCTTAATTGAAGTTTCGATTACAAAGAACTAATGAATCAATCTTTATGTGCAACACTAATTCTTAACCTTAAACCATGCTAAGTATTACTCCTAAAATGCCCAAGTTGTGGGACTTTGATGGGTTTAATCGTGTCATACTCTTTGTAATTAGTGTCTCTTTT